ATAAATGATGCATGTGTAGACAAGCTAAATAACTTTTTGGAAAAAGTCCAAATAATGAACTATGCTTTGAGAACAAGTCGAACCACACCCTGCAACCCTCCTTTTTTTATCTTTTTATGATCTTCGCAGGTATTACTCTGACTTTTAAGACTCTGGAGTTATTATCATATCCAATGGCGTAACAACACAACAATAGGCCTGTAAGCAACATTATCTGGGTGGGCCCCTTATGAAGTACAGCATATGATTAAGGTTCAGGATACGGCGACAGTTCCATAAATCTGCCAAGAAGATACAATTATGCAATCCTCAGTAGTATATGATCACACACTGAAAAATAGTGACTACACACCTTGAATAGAACCATTGGTGACAGCGCACCACATTACAGACATCCCAAGTTCCAAAAATTAATTTCAGGGAGATGCTTATAACACATTGTACATAAAGGTTTTAATCTACGCTCTGGGTTATCCATAATTCTAAGTCCATCCATCCATTATCCGACACGCTTGTCCCAATTGGGCTCGTGAGGGGTGCTGGTACCTATCTCCAGTTGTCAATGGTGGGGTACACCCTGGACAGGTCGCCAGTCAATTGCAGGGCACCACAGAGACAAACAGAACATACAACCATTCACGCACACACTCACACCTAAGGAGAATCTAGAGAAGCCAATTAACCTAACGGTCATGTTTTTGGACTGTGGGAGGAACCCGGAGTACCCGGAGAGAACCCACGCATGCTCAGGGAGAACATGCAAACTCCATGCAGAAAGACCCTGGGACGGGAATCGAAAACCTTGCTTCCTGCAAGGCAGCAGTGCTACCCACTGCGACACTGAGCAGCCCTAATTCCAAGTCATAGTGTGAAAAATAAAATACTCAAATATATTGTTCTTTTAAGATCTTTATTGCAGTTTGAAACATATTATATGAGTGTATTTTTACCAATCGTCTAATGAACTATACACAGTTATTAACATAGTAATTAAAGTACCACTGTCTGCTTTGCTACTGGTGTCGTGTTTAAATGGCTCACCATCTGGCATGTGTGGCGGTATAAATACGGTCCGGTGCGGCGAGTCTCTTCAGGATCAGGTGGGTTTAAGAGGAATTTTTCGCACCATTACATCTGCAAAGAGATGTCCTCGTCTATAATTGCGTAGGGGACCCACCGGGTGTCTGTAATGGGGCCCCTAGGAGGTCGTGGGCCTGTAAGCAACTGCAGTTTCTGCTTACCGATATTTGCGCCATTGATCATATCAATCAAAATTGACTTCTTGGAGCTTGTTTTTGCAGTACAGAAGTCTGCAATGTATTTTTTTTTTATGCCTTCCTGTTTAAGATCAACCATCTTCCAACAAACAGAATTCATATCAAATGAATAAATAAAGGGCTGAGATGTGTTCTGGCAACAATAGGTCAGGTTGTTGTTAGCTTATGAACTTGGAGGTGGTCCAGTTTTCTCAAAGCATTTATCCGTGACTTGCTGTGGTCCACTTAAGGTTTATTCTTTATCCCTGCAGTGAATGGAAAAAGCAGGGCCATCATACGAATTTCTTCAGAAGATAATCAAAAGTGTTGCTTCTCTTTCATTTATGATACTATGGTTTTATAAAAGCTCAGTGGTGCTTTTTCTTCCCTGCGATAATTTTGTTTTTGGCCTTGAAAGAGAAGTGTACAGGAGTTTGAATGCAGCGTTTAAAGTGTGACTCCAGCAAATATTCCAAAAGCTGGATAGAGGAAGGAAAGCTTGGAGCTGCACGCCCTTTGTCTGAGACTGCAATCCGTTTTCCTTTAGACTCCAGGTGGGAGAAACCATGTCTGCAGGGCAGACATTGTATACTACGTGACATTTTTCACCCAAATATTTCTTGCTACAAAAGCAGAAAAGGGAAAGAAAGCATACGCACTTTTCAACACGATATCTAATTACAGATAAAAATCAGAAAGCAAGGTTCCAGTTCTGGCTGTATGTTTAGGGAGGTTTTCCTGCTGGAAGGTGGGCCTCCAACCTTGTCTGCAGTTTTACCGACACTAAAGGCCAATTTATGCTTCTGAAGCATAGCTTTTGCAACCGTCAAATCTGTCTCTGTGCGTGGCCTCGCCCCCCGCGGAGAGGTTCTTCAACCGTCGTTGCGCACCTCAAAAAAATCCTGACTACTCTAGATCCATCTCTGTGACTGTGATATCTTGCAGATGCGCCATTGTTGTTTTGGTAGATAAACACTCCAATCAGCGCTGACGAAGTTCTCGTGACCATCCGTCGAAGTTCTTGCAAGTTCTTGAATAGACTCCCCCTTGCGCTTTGGCGGGAAACTGCTGTGCGTCCCTAGAAATTCCAGACCGACAATGCAGAAGCATACAGCAAAACTGGTTGGCGACCAGACCCAAGCAACATTTGATGATGAGTCCAATCTGCCCTTAAGAATTGCCCTGCATTAGCTCCTACTGTCCCTTTTACTAGGTTCCGTGTCTATGTTAAAGAGCGTCCTCACAGCATGATGCATCCACCACTGTGCTGCACAGTGGAAATGGTGCATTCAAGGTGATTTTAAGTGTTAGTTTGATTATTCACAATAATGCAGATTCTAAATCAGCCAACTATAGTTTGGTTTTCTGATCAAAATCTGTGTTTAACCCGTCGTCCCACAGGCAGAGTCAGGGACACAGGGCAGTAGGCAGCAGAGGCCCTACAGTAGACTGGGGTTGACAGCTTTATCAGCTCATGAGAACAGAGGAGGAGAGCTGGCTCGTTGCCCAGCTGAGCTACCACCACGTTGCCTCAACCCCTGCTCACACAGACTAGCTCGACCTTGGACAGGGCACAGTCACCCTTCTCCCTCCTCCCGTTTGGAAATAACCCCCAACGGCACCCCTCCCCCCACTGCTCCCAATGCCTCTCCAGGATGGAGGAAAGGGAGGAGCTGGAAGTAATGGAAGCAAACTGGCACATCGTGTTTCCCTAATCTGAAATTACCCACAACACACTCTGTGTACATGTAAACACTCTGAAATTCAGACTATTTCTCTTCCTGGCTGTCTCCCAGATTTATGCTGCAAATATACAAATAAGCTTGTCTGATTTCAGCTGGCTCCATCTTTTTCCCCAAAATAGAACATTAAAGGATAACAATTATTATATCCTGTGCTTTGCAAAGATATCTTTGCCAATATATTTGATATTTGTGTACACATTCAATATAATTTGATGCAACAATCAACAGAAAGTGGTGAATAAGTAGAAAAATATTGAAAGGTGTTGGATGCTGCCTCCACATTCAGCCTCAGGCGATCATGGATCACCTGAGCAGGCCCTGAAAGGCAATCAGTTTGGATTTTATTTTTAAAGCATAACACTACCACCTCCGTGTGTTCAGATTAATACAGGGTGTTAAAGCATTTTAAAGTAGGATGTGGAAATTTTGTTCCACTTCCATATTTTGTACCCATCAAATCATAATAAAATATATTGATACAAAACCATCAAAAAAGGTGAGAGGGCTGTGGGTTATTTCACATGGAGGTTTTTCTATTGAATTTGTCAGCCTATAAGCCAGTGGAATTCATTAAGGTGGTGGTTTTATGTATGTTTGTTACTTTTCCTGCTGTCTGCGAATGTAATGTCGCTCAGGCTGCAGTTAAATGGATTTTTCAATTGATCTTTCAGCTTGTCAGAGGCAGCAGCTTTAATGGGCACATAGCTGGTCTTCATCTGTGAGTTCTTCCTGTATAGATGAGCGGCCGTGCGCCTGCCTCTGCAGCCGCTTCGGCAAATGAGACGTTATTGAATCAATCTTGTCCAATTATTTCTTCTGTGTATGTTAAATGTGAATAAAGGTGCAACAGAGTTCCTACATCTCATCACTGAACTTATGCTCCTCAGATTTATTGCATTTTTTAAACTGGGGGAAAAGATTTATAGACTTTTAATAAACAACAGATATAAGGGAGACTCTTAATGGACTAAATAGACGTGGAGACCCTGAGTTTGTTATGGTGATTGCCCCATTTCTCTTAATAGGGTTAATCCTAAATACTGTGAGGTTTGCATTTGTAAAACAGGAAATAAAAGCATTTTTCCAACAATCTCCTATACGTAAACATTTTAAGTACCCTATGGCTTAGGGATGCACGATATTGGGATTTTGGCCGATATCCGATATGCCGATATTTTAAAACTCATGTAGCCGATA